ATATGAATCTATATTTTATTTTCTTAAGCTCTGTCTCATTAAATACTTAGGACAACAATATGTATGTGTGTGTTTTATATAAATATCTTTTAACATTTTAACATTATTCAGCAGTTTAATTATTTAGTGCTTATGGAATGTATTTCTATACCAGAATTGTGAAACTAACAAAATTCATGTTCAGTATTGCCCTTCTCATAGCGTTTACAGTGTAATAGGGCACATAAATTTACATTATGTCACTAACAAAATGATATACAAATATAATACTAAATAAATTATTATGGCAGTTCACAAGCATTCCACATATCTGCCCTCATATATGGCATGTAATTTTATTCTATAATTCTCTGTTAGTTTGAGAATATTTCCAGAAACAAATGGCTGCTTCTTTGATGAGAAGAGTAACTTTTGTGTGACTGGGTGTGTGTGTGTGCGTGTGTGTGTGTGTGTGTGTGTGTGTGTGTGTGTGTGTGTGTGTTGCTAGGGATCAAATCCAGGGATTCATAACATGCCAACCATATGCTCTACCACTGGGTTACATCTCGCAAACCAAGTAAATCTTTAATCATGTGATCTTACTGAAATATTGGCTTGACTTATAATCTGACCTCGAGTAGTTAGGAGGAAAGACATACTGTTCCTAGAGTCTGCACCAACCCCAGTGCTGGGTACCTTCTGCACACACATGCTCCCATTTATGCTTTCATAAATTCACTGTGAGACAGATAGTGCCATCTCCAGTTTGCAAACAGAAACTTAGTGATCAAACAAGTTAAACAACAAACTTGAAAATTTCTTTTAGTTTCTTTTGTGATGTTCTACATTGGACCCAGGATCTCACACATGCAAGGCAAGCACTTTACCACTGAGCTACATACCTCTTTTAAATGTTTTCTATTATTCAGAGAATATTTCCAAAAATAACAATAGACTTGCATGTTAGAACTTTTATCTGATTATAATACCAGTGACAAGAGATATTTCCTTCCATAATTGTCATCATTCTTAGAGGAAGACTGAATTTAACCTCTACTTACAGATGTAAGGTTTAGTTTATAAATTACTTTGAATAATTATATAAGAAGATATTTATGAACAAATTAGTCTCAGTCAAATAAATACCTAATTACTTATAAATACATAAGTAGAGAACAGAAAATAGATTTTAATTGCCGTAAACTTTAGTCTTCTGTGAGAGGCAAGGCACATGAAGTAGACAGCACTTTTATTAAAAAGCAGCCCAATGACGGACAGTAAACCTGGTGGCGTTCCTCCTCCTCAGCAGACCTGGTTCTTACAAAGCCATAGGTTCTAAATGTTCAGAAGGTTATCAGTAATTCAGATAGGACCTGGGTGTAAGCTCAGTGGTGGAGCCTATGCTTGGCATGTTCAAGTCCCCAACTCAGACTCCAGCACCAGAAAACAGACAGATACACAAAATTCTAGTAAGGTTCCTTTAAGTTTAAGGCATTGAACTCAGAGCAAAAAGAAGAAATAGACTGACTAAATTACAGTTCAATCATGTTAATGCCATGGTAAAACAAACCAAAAACACTAAAAGATTGATTTTTGAAGATCAACTGGATAACTTTAAAAAAATATCTTATTCAGTACACAAGGAGGAGAATTTGTTAAATTTTGGCATTTAAGATGGGTCTCAGTTATCCTCTCTCACTGCTTATATTTAAATATCTTAGTTTTCTTTCTTTTGTTTTGAATTTACTACTTTTCAAACTGCAAGATATGCCCACTATGGAAAACGTGTATAAGAAAGGACTTGAGCTATTAAAATGTGATTAAACATGGCCTACAATTTTATGATTGTCTTTGTATTAGAATTCAGTCAACTTTCATATAAACTTTTCAAGCACATTCATTTTGTTTTTAAATTAATTTGTTAATAACTGATAAGAGATAGATGATCTCATAGTCTTATTTTGTCAGGTTCATAAACAGTCGTCACTGTTTTTAATTGAAGATGACAGTGGCAGTAAAGCCTCGATGGCGGAGAATCTTAACCACCAAGAGCAGAAGAGACTCACTGCAAGAGTTGACTTAGGTCTCAAACAGACATTTCAGAGACACTAAAAGACCTACCTGTATTAACTTGAAAGCATTTTTCCCTGTCCTATATCATTTAAGTCAGAATTTCTTTAAAAATATCATTATATATATGCATATTCAGATATATGTATCTCTCTCTCTGTGTGTGTGTGTGTGTGTGTGTGTGTGTGTGTGTGTGCGTGTGTGTGAATTGTTTGTGAGCCTTGGAGTCTAAACCAGGAACGCATAAATGGTAGGCAAGTAGTCTACTAGTGAGCTACATGAACCCTCAGGTCAATATTTTTTAATCTAGTCTACCTCAGAGTCTAATTATGATGATTGTCAATACAGAGGCTCTCACTGGTTGCTGTCACTGTTCTCACCCACCAAAGTTGCCCCAATTGAAATACAATTTCAGCAAATACAATTTCAATTCTATTACCCCAGTTTGCCCTTTTACAGATTGCTGATACTAAGTAAAATTCCTATATTAAAATTTGAGTTGTCACTTTTTTTATTTCACACTTTGAAAATTTTCCAAGGACAATGTGATTTACTTGTACTAAAATCCCTCACCACTTGGGATTGGGGATTTAGCTCAGTGGTAGAGCACTTGCCTAGCAAGCGCAAGGCCCTGAGTTCGGTCCTCAGCTCCAGAAAAAAAAAAAAAAAGACAAAATACCTCACCTTTGAATCGTGGTCAGCTCTCAGTTTAGTCAGAATAAATATTGTACTTACTGGTAGACTACTTGCCTAGCATGCACAGGGCCTTGGGTTCGATCTTCCAACACTACCAAAATTCAAAGAGGAGGAGGAGAGAGTAAATATGGCACTCAGCATTGACATTAGGTATGATTAAGTAGTCAGCAATACCTTGTAGGAGGATCTGCTCCACATACCTGCTGAACCTGTGCTATTGGGAAAGGGTAACTGTAGCTCTAGAATCTGCTCATTGGCTGAGAGAGATGGTAAGCTGGTGTGTCCCATAATCACAATAATAGCTTATAATAAAGAATATTTGTAAATATTCTTTCTATATAAATAGTATTTTGTGTATCTTTGTGGTTTTTAACTTTATTTCTTAACTTTATTAGTAAATCATGTTTATTATGTTTTACAAAAATATTTATAACAAATTGAAAATGAAGGAAAAAACACAGGTCCTTTCACATAAGTGCTCTGGAAAACACTGAATTTTATCTAAATAATACAGGCATATAGTCAAATGCTACACTGCAGTTAAAACACTTTATTTTTATTTTATTATTGTCATTGCATTTTATTTATTTATTTTGTGTTGGAGGGGACTTAACCTGTATGGAGAGGACACCTGTGTGGAGGTCAGATGACAACTTTAGGGAGTCATTTCTCTGCTTTCACCATGTGGGTCCGGGGGATTGCACTCAAGGTCAATAGGCTTGGAGCAGGTACCTTTACCCATTGTGTCATCTAGCTCAAAATGTTTTTTTAAATGAGTAATCCCTGTATACTACTGTGGCCTACTCTCCAGAATGTATTGTTTTTAAGTAAATAAAAATTATGCATTTATTTAAGGTGCAGATTGAATATATTGAATAATACCTGCTTGCTTATATAAAATAATGCAGTACAATGTGAAAGCATATTTTAATTATCTATTAATAAAGGAAAGAATAAAGGAGGATAGAAACATGATTTTCAGTATACAAGGTTGACTTTATAACTATGTAAATATTTTACATAATTATAAAACTATAATCTTTAAAGTGATATCTAAATATTTATAGCTAAATAAATGAATCTAAATGTTTGTCTAGTTGGTGGTATAAGTACAAAGACAGAAACTATGCCAAGTGACTTTAAAACAGAAATTCCACTGAATATCTCTAATGGAACATATGCCCCTCTGACACACAGAACATAAAAAGCAAAAACTCTACCCCTTTTGAACCATGCAATGCTATTTTAAAACTATTGTGCTTGAACTGAGGGATGAAATAAATGAATAATTATCTTGTTTTCACAGGTTTCTAGTGTGGGCAAAATAAAACAAATGTAGCCAGGCGTGGTGGCGCACGCCTTTAAGGCAGAGGCAGGCAGATCTCTGTTAGTTGGAGGCCAGCATGGTCTCCATAGTGAATCCAGGCCAGCTGGGGCTACAGGGAGACCCTGTCTTAAAAAGACCAAAAAAAATTAAATAAATAAATAAAACAAATGTGTAAGATAAATGAAATTATGTAAAAAACTATAACTTTGAATTGAAAATGCTAGTATGAACTCATGGTGTATTTCGTCTTTAAATGCGTGTACATAAAAATACTTTATACATATTTACCAGCTTTATTAGTCATTTTCCCCTATTATAATAAAATGCCTGAGAACAGGTTATTTTGGTTCATAATTTGGAGGTTTCAGTTCAAGATCAGGCAGATCTGCAATGGGTCTCTGATGGCAGTGGCAGGGCATGGTGTATGTAGCAAACTGTCACCTAACAGCCAAGAAGCGAAAAGAATAATGCCACATGGGCCAGTGTCCCAAATCCCCTAGAGGTATACCTTTAATGACCTTGGATCTCCCACTAGACTCCATCTCTTAAAGGTTCCACTACCTTCCAACAGTGTCATCCTGGTTTCTAAGCTTTTAATACACCAACCTCCAACAGTACAGTGAGCCAAGCCATAGCACCAGCCTTGCACACTGAAAAGATTAGAAATAATGACCTACCCAGAGGCAATGAGCATTCTTTATCAAATGCTTCCCACCACAGGGAGCCAGAACTCTTAGAGAAATGGGTAGTTTCATGTCTGCAGCAAGCCTTAAACAGGATGAACTCAGTTTTCCTTGTCAGAAATTAAAGAATAGTAGGTTCATGCAAAAATATTCAAAAGCCAACCTAAATTACAGCCCTGCAGTGATTAAAGGTGGATACCTTGAACAGCAATAGGCAATACTTTCAGTCCATTGCTTGTCAAATATGTGTATGTAAATTCCCTGTTAATAATGATACTGTAAAACAACAAAAAAGTGTTACTTACCTTTGGAGGATTACAGGATCTACTTGATTGTATATAAAACGATTAGCAGGAGGAAGAAACTTTCCTGATTTTCTGATTAGTTTCTAGTACTTATATGAATGTGCTCAGAAAAAGAGAAGACTAGAGGAAACATACCAATGAAAGTAGTTGTTACCAGTGGCTACTGGAATCACACTTTTTAAAAAATATTTTATTTATTTTTATTTTATGAGTATGAGTATATGGCCTGCATGTACATAAGTGTACCAGTGTCACGCACTGCCCGAAGAAGTCAGAAGAGGGAATCAGATCCCCTGGAACTGGAGTTACAGATGGTTGTTAGCTGCCATGTGGGTGCTGAGAACTGAACCCGGGTCCTCTGCAAGAGCAGCCAATGCTCTTAACCACTGAACCATCTCTCCAGCCCAGGAATTAGACTTTTTTTTTAAACAGTTATTTTTCTGTGTATGAGTGTTTTACCTGCACATGTATTAGTGCATCATGCTATCAAGCCTATGGAGGCCAAAAGAGGGTATCAAATTCTTTGGAATTGGAGTTACAAATGGTTGTTTACTGCCGTGTGGGTACTGGGAAGCAAACCTGAGTCCTCTGCAAGAGCAACCAGTACTCTTAACTGCTGAGCCATCTCTCTAGCCCTGAAATTAATACTTTTAAAAAAATTATCTTGTGGACTTTTTTTCTTCAGTGTTTCTGTATTTTTAATTTAAAAATGAAATATGGATCCATGTAATTCAAAGTTCTGTTGTTTATGCAAATTATTATTTTCTGATTTTTTTTCCTTTAGGCCTTCAAACAAGCTAGAAATATGGGAGGACCTAAAGATAATAAGTAAGGCTTATGTTTTGTGTGACAGCACATCTTAAGCTATTTATAAAAGGAAACTTTAGCACCATAGTATGTAAATGACTCTTTACCTGCCTCATTGAGTAGTCAGGTTTCAGTGTAAAGACTACTAAGGAAGTAGATCAGTATCTGCTTGTTGACAGTTCGTAGTGGATCATGGTAGTGACTGTTGTTTATGTTAGGTACTGATATCTTTAACATTATATTTGAAAAGAAGTTTTTCTTCCAACCCAGAAAGCAACTTTGCTTTGATATTATAAGCAAACTTTCATTAGTGATAAAAATTGTAATTGAAACACTTTCCTTGGCCCAATATATCTGTCTCTTTCTCGGAACTTTGTATCCGTACACATCCCTGTTTCGCCATCCACTCTTTTATTCTGAACGATGCTTTAGTCTTACATGTCTGAAGACAAAGAAAGCCTCTCTAGTCTAGAGTCCCATGTTTCTTCCAGAAGCACATTCCCTGTGACCAGCTATTTCTACCGTCTCATTCTTCACTCCCACTCACTTTTTGACACTACACCTGGCTTTTGCCCTGATCTTTACTCAAGCAGCCCTCACAGACACTATAAGGAATTTGTTTCTAAATCCACTGGGACGTTATGACTTGCCACACTTCTTGGCAGCAGTCAGTACCTTTGCTCTCTTCTGTCTTCAACACTGTGTTATGCCGCTGGCAGGCCTAGTCTTTGCTGGTTTTCCCAGTCCTTCTGTACCTTCCTCTAGGCCTTACTGGTTTTCTTTACCTGTTGTTGAAGTGTGGAGTCTCTCCATGCTCAACCCTCTTCTCTTAACTCACTCCCTAGACTGCTGAGTTCTCAAGCTACAACTCAGTTGTTTCTTGTTTTGTTTTGCCTTGCCTCCCCTCACCCACACCACAGATGGGTACAGGGTGTCATGCGTACCAGGCAAGCATATACTACCACTGAGTTGAATCCCCAAACTCCTTTGTTTTCTTTTCCCAGCTTATACCATGTCATTCCTTCACCCAGTATGTATTTAGTGGGTAGTACTGAGCATGATGGCACCAGCCTGCCATCCTAGGACCCAGGAGGCCAGGCAGGAGGATCGTGAGTTTGAGGCCAGCCTGGGCTACAAAGTGAGACCCTGCTTAAAAACAAAGGGCCAGGGAGGAGAAGGGGGAGGGACACCTAAATGATTCTAAACAAGTTATAAGGAGATATTAAATATAAAATATTTTGAATTGGTATATTTTTGTACTTAATCTAGTTATAAATATATTTGTTAAAGTCCTCTTATTTAAAAGTAATAATAGGGATGGGTCATGATTTTATGTACTTGTTGGTGTTTTAGAAATGATGCTAAAGGGTTTCTTTTCTTTTAAAGGTTTCACAAGAAGTGTTGTAGCTGTGTACAGTACTTGTATGCTGGTGGTTCTTCTGCGCGTCCAGCTAAACATAATTGGTGGCTATATTTATCTGGATAATGCAACAGTTGGCAAAAATGGCACTGTAAGTCTAATGAACTTAAGTGTGCGTGGTTTTTCTTTTGAGAAGTTCAAAGTTTAGCTGGATATTACTTACTCTGATACAAATTTCAATTGTTAATCAATTCTATGAAATTGAACCTTTATATTTCATGAGATTGAATTTGTAGCATTATGATTATTTTTTTTTGTATTTTGAAAGTGGACTTTTTTGGTATGTTATTTATTCCTGTTATTCCCAATTCTGAAAATTTCAGCCTAAATTGTACTGAAAATATTCTATTTACTAATAAAACTTAATTTAACCTCATTTCTATTTTGTACAGACAGTTCTTGCTCCCCCAGATGTACAACAGCAATATTTATCAAGTATACAACACCTTCTTGGAGATGGTAAGAGACTAATTTGCAACCTGTATACTTAAATTCATTTATTTATACTATTGACAAATGTTTTAAGTGAACAAAGCTTTTTTTTCTTCCTTTAAATTTGTTTTTCCTTTAATAGGCCTGACAGAATTGGTTACTGTCATTAAACAAGCTGTGCAGAAGATTTTAGGAAGGTAAGCTCATTTTTCTTTGATTTTTCTGACTTCCTGAATAAAAGGAAAATTACTGAGCATGGTGGCATGGGCCTATCATCTCAGTTACCCCGGAGTCTGACGCAGGAGGATTCCAAGTTCAAGGGCTGCCTGGCCTCTAGATCAGGTTCAAGGCCAGACTAGACACTTCAGTGTGACTCTGTCTGCAAATTTATAAACAAGTGAAGAGAGGGGTGACTGGAAGCTCAGTGGAAGAGCATTTGCTCTTTTGCAGTGTGAAGCCTTAGGTTCAATCTCCAATACTGTAAAGAAAGAGGAACTAGAAAATGGAATTTTTCTGGTGAAGTGGGTTAATTAACAAATAATAACTTACGACCTGCTTTATAAACTAATATAGACACCAACCCTGACCTGAGTATTCATTATAGAATCCCTTCATCAGTATCAATCTTTTGAAGCTAGGGGGACATTTTTCATATTTGTTTATTGATTGACTGATTTCCAAACAAACTAAGTGTTTGAGTTATGAGATTAAAAAAAAAACCTTTTAAAAATCTGGCTAGCTCCCACTTATACTAATAATGTCTGTAATTATGGTTTCAAATGTCTTGTGAAATCTACATGAAAGGTTTGTTTTGTGACTCTGAAACAATGGCCTTCACTGGCAGCCCATCTTCTGATCCAGCGTAGTTCAGCAGTCTCAGCTTTGACTAGATGAAACCAGACTTCATATAAGAGCCTGCAAAGGAAGGAGGGCTGTGCAAGGGTGCTCATGGATTCAGTTTATCTGATTCTCTTTTCTCTGTTCCCAGTGTCTCTCTTAAACATTCTTTGTCCCTTTTGGACTTGGAACAAAAACTAAAAGAAATCAGAATTCTTGTTGAGCAGCATAAGTCTTCTTCGTGGATTAATAAAGAGGAATCCAAGTCTTTGTTGTGCCATTACATGATGCCAGATGAAGAGACGCCATTAGCAGCTCAGGTGCTTAACTCATAACCATTCTGTGTTTTCTGAGACGGTGCTCTCTTTTGAAGTTTCGATTTCCAAGTGGCTTGAAAAGTGATTGAAAGGCACGTATTTCAATAATTTAAATAAAACCTTGTTAGTTTAGAAAAACAGCAAATATGACTTATAGTATCTTTTATATTTTTGGACACTTGGCGAATTTGTATTGAGTCATATTTAGGTATAGACGCCATGGTGTATGCTATGGCTGTAAAAGGAGAAGATGTGTTTATTACACTTGGGAAACCCTGGAGACCAGTTCAGTTAGTGTGGAGAGAGATGTTTATTATAAGATCAAATAACAGAACCCAGAGGAAAATCATATGGGGACAAAATCGTGAAGAGCTTTATGCCTCAAGTTAAGTCTAAACTTCAGTTTGTAGAATTAAATTTGAATGAGACCAGTACTACTTTCAAATTTGCTTTTGAAAAATGAATAATGGGGGGCTGGAGAGATGGCTCAGCAGTTAAGAGCACTTGACTACTCTTGCAGAGGACCCAGGTTCGATTCCCAGCACCCATGTAGCAGCTGTGAACCATCCTTAACTCCAGTTCCAGGGGAATCCGAAGCCCTCTTCTGACCTCCGCGGCATTGCACAACACAGGTGCACTCACATACATGCAGGCAATACACTCATACACATAAAACAATAAAAATAATAAAATGTTTTTTAAAAAATGAGTAATGGTTTTGGGTAGAGAAGTGGCTCAGCAGTTGTGAGCAATATTATTCTTGTAGAGGACCCAAGTTCATTTCCCAGCACCCACACCAGGTGGTTCACAACTGCCTGTAACTCCAGCTCCAGGGGATCTTAGGCCCTCTTCTGGCCTCCACTGGCACCTATACTCTCATGTACATCACACACACACACACACACACACACACACACACACACACACACACATACGTACGTGCAGATAATTAAAAATCAGATCTTTAAAGAAAAAAAAGAGTGATAGTAGGGCAATGACCTGAAGGAAGTTACAGTCACCAACTGAGTGACAAACTAGGTCTTATCTGATAGTTAGCAGCTCCTATGTTCCTGTGTCCTGCTGTGTCCTGAACAGGAGTTATAGCTGTTGTTAAGAACAGTGAAAAAGCCAAAGATTGCGGGTGATATAACTCATTTTTAAATTAGTAGGTTTGGGGACTGGAGAGATGGCTCAGAGGTTAAGAGTTCTTGCAGGGGACCCAGCTTTAGTTCCTAGCACCCACATGGCAGCTAACACCCATCCTTAACTCAAGTTTGAGGAGATCTGATGCCTCCTCTGGTCTCTGTACCAGACATGTGTGGTGCACTTATATTCATGCAGGCAAAACACCCATAGATTTTTTTTTTTATAGTTATTAGCTAGATTGAACCCATTTTATGCCATCGGAAAATAGCTCTCACTTAACAACTTGGAGAAGTCTTGAACAAAGTGGTTTCTAGCATGGAGGCCTTGTAGACTGGAGGACTCATTCTCATTGCCTGAGGTTTTCTCTCCCCTAGGGACTCCAAAGATGTGCTCTTCAGGTGCTGAGAGACACTATGTTCATGAGTAGCCGGGGAGATGGAGAAGAAAAGAAAGGAAAGTTGCAATCCATTAAAGGGAGTCTTGTGACTTGAAGGATGAAAACTAAACTAAAAACAAAGAGGACAGGTGGGGCAGACTCAATGAAAGAGCCAGGCATGGTCATATACTCAGGAAACTGAGGCAGGAGCATCACCAGTTCTAGGCTGTCCTGGTCTACTTAGATAGAACAGCTTGGAGCCTTGTCTCAAAAAACAGGAGAGAGGTTAATGAAAAAATCAGCAAAAAAGTATTTACAAAATAGGATCTCATGGAAACAAGAGAATTAAGCTTTCTAGCACTATAAAACAATATCCAGGCCGGGTGTGGTGGCACACGCCTTTAATCCCAGTACGCGGGAGGCAGAGGTAGGCGGATCTCTGAGTTCTAGGCCAGCTTGGTCTCCATAGTGAATCCAGGACAGCTGGGGCTGCAGGGAGACCCTGTCTCAAAAAGACCAAAAAAAAAAAAAAAAACCAAAAAACAATATCCAAATTTTAGACTTCAACAGTAGAACACGGCAAAACAAATGAGAGGAATGACGACCCAAGTCATGCTGAATTGAACTCTTTACATTCAAAGGACACAGGACACAGAGCTTCACACTAGATTGGTGTTAAAAAGAAAAAGAAAAGAAAAGACACACACATATCCTGGTAAAATTTCTTGATAGTACAAGAAAAAAAAACAGTCCTCTTTTTTCTGTATGTATAGTATATGTGTGTGATGCATTCACCTATGCACATGCATATGGAGGCCAGAGCAGATGTCTTTCTGTGGCTGTCTGCCTTATTGCCCTGAGATGGGATCTCTCACTGAACTGGAAGCTCACCATTTTGTGTGGACTGGCTGGGCAGCAAGCTCTTAGAGCCAGCTGTTGTGCCCCCCCCCCCCCAATGCTAGGGTGTTATAGGCACATGCAGCCATGCCTGGATTTCTATATGAGTCCTGGGAATTCAAACTCAGGTCCTCGTGCTTGCCCTGCCCACTGAGCCAGCTCCCCATCCTCTACATTCGTAATGTCTAGTGTTTTTCTTTTATCTGTAGATGCCAGAAACATCCAAAAAGGACCAAATACACAAAGACTACAAAATGCACTTCGGTTCAAGTTTTAAATACTACTTATCTGTGTTCATAAACCTTTTTTGAATTTGGTACTTTTGATTATTGATAGAACATAGACCTTCAGACTCTTGTGTTTCTGAATGTGATTAATTTGTTTATGACCTGGTGGTCATATTTGAAACCTTTAAGTATGGAAGTTTAATTTTGCAGGCCTGCGGGCTTTCTCCCAGAGACATTATCACCATTAAACTTCTCAATGAGACAAGAGACATGTTAGAAAGGTATGTAGACCACATGGAAATGTATTTGTATTTTTGATGTATATAAGACCATTCTCTAGTGTTTCTAGAGCAGCATGTTCAATATGATATTGTATGAAAATTGAATGTTTCATCAGTTCCCACCCTTTAGATAATATTTCCCACCTATTCTTTATGGCTGATAAAAATTCCATTGAGTATATATGCCACATTTTCTTTATCCATTCCCCTGTTGATGGACACCTAGGTTTGGTTGCTTAACTTAGCCACTGTGAATAATGCTGGAGTAAACATTGATGTGCAAGTATTTCTGAGACACATTGCCTTGCCTTGGAGCCTTTTGGGTAAAACCCCTGGAGTGGTTTAGCTGAATCATGTTAGGTCTACCTGCAGTCTTCTGAGGAACCTCCATACTGATTTTCATAGTGGCTGGACTACTTTACATTCCCACCAGCAGTGTGCTTATAGTATTGGTATTTCAAAATACATTGTAAAAAGTGCTTTCTAATATGAAAAATCTAGGAAAATTGATGAATAGTCTTATTGTGTTATGCTTAAAAACAAGTCATTTTTATGCATAATTTTGAAAAATTTGACTCCATGATAAATTTAGATAGTTTTTCATGCTCTTAGGACTAGATTGTAACTAGAAATGTTGAGGATTCTCAAAGGTAACCACATAATTATTGAATTTGTTTCCTTTTTCCACTGAGAGTCTAAAACATAATGCACTTCTTATTTTATCTAGTCCAGATTTTAGTACAGTTTTGAATACCTGCTTAAACAGAGGTTTCAGTCGGCTGCTAGACAACATGGCTGAGTTCTTTCGACCTACTGAACAGGACCTGCAGCATGGTAATGCCGTGAATAGGTAAGGTGGCATATCAGAATGGTATGGTACTAACCCTCTGAAAAAGTGAGGCTTTGGATTTTTTTTAAGGTAAAAAGAAATCATTAATGATAAATTTAAACCATTTTAAACCAATTACTTCCTCATTAGCAGAAGTTCCTTCTGGATTCAATAATAATTGAAAAAAAACTTCCATTTTTTTTCCAACTTAAGTTGTAAAACTATCCCTTTATTAAGCCAAAATTGAATTTTTAAACATTCCTTAGAAAATAAAATGAATGGTGTAGCCATTAGTGGTCTGCATTAATTCAATGGTTTGCTCATGACAATAACCAGACGTTATACTACACCCACATCAGCCCTGGGTCATCTGCCTTTTCTGAACTCCTATAGAGTGTATTGTCTGCCCTTTCCTGTACAACCTGCCCTTGCTGCTTTGAATTGGAGCTTCCTTCCTCAGTTACATTGAAGCTTCCTCTTAGACTGCCATGCGCTCTTTCATTTTTCTTTATACACTACATGTGTCCCATCTCTAAGTTTTTCTCTTTCATAACGAACTCTATCCTTCATATTCAGCATTTTTAGAAGCATCTCCTTCATGCCTGCTGTCATCACCATTACACAACATGGTGTGTCAGTTCTAGCCACCATAGTAATTCAAGAAAAAATAATCATAAGCCAGTGAGATGGCTCACTGAGTAAAGGCACCTGCCACTGAGCCTGATGACCCGAGTCCAATCCCCAGGGCCCACATCGTAGATGGAGAGAAACAACTCCCACAATTGTCCTCTGTCCTCCACAGGCATGCAGTTATACATACCCCCCATACACATATGCACATACACAAATAAATACTTGTAATAAAAACTGAACAATATTTCAATTGTTAGAAAGGATGCAAAGTACATTGCTATTTAGATGTATTGGAATTAAAAATAGATTTTAAAAAGCTAGGGCCTAAATGGAAAATTGTATAGGCTTGAGGGATAGATGTAGATGATAAAATCCAGAAATATATAGCAATAGTAATAGCATCCAGCATTTTTTTCTATGTTCTAGTATGGTATTAGTTTTCAGAGTGTGTCTATAGGATTCTTAGTAGCCTTAGGAAACAAGTGGTAGCACTTTTCTCACTTTCCAAGTGATGAACTAAGATATACAAAAAAATTTTTAAATAATTTGAAGTCTAAAATCTAGGAAAACTGAATATTCAGTAACTTCTGTTTGATATTACAGCTTAGAATTTTAATCATACCTCATCAGAACTAATTAAGATACATATTAAGAATGTAAGAGAGTTAAAAACATTATAAAAACTATTTCAATAAAGTATAACATTAATAAGTTAACAGAACAGGGCCAGCAAGATGGCTCAGAGGGTAAAAGCACCTGCTGCCAAGCCTGCTAATACGAGTCGATCTCTGAGACCCACATAGTGTAAGGAGAGAACTGATTCTTGCAAGTTGTCTTCTGACCTCCACCACACACACACACACACAATAAATAAAAATGTAATAAAACGTTAACGAAAAAATTATCTTCAGTGTTGCTAAAAAGGCATGCAATTAAGACATCTGTTATTAAAATCTTCTACAATAAACAGCATTTTATATAATTAAAATTTTGAAATAAAAACATATACTTATTGGTAAAACATCAGTTTGATTCCTATTAAATCAGAAGCAGCATAAAGATCATCTGTGTTAGTATGTTTATTCAGCATCTTTCTTTTACTTGTTCTCATGAGTGTAATAAGACTGAAAAATTACCAAGTTTGAAGATCAGTTTCAGGGGTACCATTGAATTTTTCTTTTAAAAAATTTTTTTGGTTGATTTATTTTATGTGTAAGTGTTTTGCCTCCAAGTATATAAGTGCACCATGTACATGCAATACCCACAGAGGCTAGAAGAGGGCGTCAGAGCCCTGGGAATGGGAGTTACTGGTTGTTAGCAGCCATGTGGGTGCTGGAAACTGAACCAGGGTCCCTCTACAAGAGCAGAGTGCTCCTAACTGTCAAGCCATCTCTCTAGCCTGAATTTTTCTATATTTATCTTTAAGATAGAAACTAACAAAGTGCTAATTCACTCTTGATTTTTTTTTAAAGGTAAGTACATACTACCTTTTAAATGGGATTAGTTGTTTTTTGTTTTTGGTCTTTTTGAGACAGGATCTTCCTGTAGCCCCAGCTGGCCTGGAACTTGCATGTAGACCTGGCCTCCATCTCACAAAGATCTGCCTCCACCTTCCAAGTGCTGGGACTAAAGCCACCACACCTTGCTTGAAATCAGTTTTTTAAAGGGAAAGAAAAAACATTGTAAGACAGTGACATGACTTTATACTTAGAAACTCTGCAGAGTCAGCTGAAAAGGGTAACATGCCTCTCCTAAAATTAGTCTATAAATATAGCCAAAATACTATCAAAACCCGACTGGAGACTAAAGGACAGTTTTGTTATCAAACCTGATAAGTGATTTAAAAAAAAAAAAAAGGCAATCTGGACAGAAAAAGAGACTAGAATTAACAGAAATAAAAATTGAAGACTGCATTTTTTTTTTTTTTTTTTTTTTTGCTCTTTTTGAGACAAGGTCTCCCTGTAGCTCCAGCTACAAGGAGCACAGCATGTGATGTAGAAAGAAGGCGTGATGGCACAGGAACTCCCACACACCAGAAAGAAAGCAGGGCATTTGGTGGTGTAGATTACAAACCTAAAACATTTGTTCCCTTTGACCAGTAATTCCATGTTTATACATTGTTACTTGTATTAAGAAAACTTAGGAGGAACTTGAATGTCCCTCATACAGCGTTGCTGACAAACACTGACAACTACAGCATGGATGCCAGCTGAGCACTAGAAATAACTGACAAAAACTTAGAGCTTGTAAAGAGATGGGAAAGCATTTAAAACATTGAAAAGAAGCAAGACTATGCTTGAGAGAGTTTTAAGGTAAAAAACTAAAAAACATAAAAATATAAAAAAGTCCAGAAGAAAATATCCATGAGATCAATTAGTTGTTATTTCTAGATGGTAAAGTTATATTTGGATTTTCTATTAACATATTAACACATTTCGGCAAGTATTCTTCAATAACTTGTGTATTCTTTTAAGAAATGTTAAATGCCTGTAAGTTGACTTCAGAAAATAACTACTGTAATGATTTTTTCTCAGTCTTTCCAGTGTCAGCCTGCCTTTAGCTAAGATAATTCCAATAGTAAATGGACAGATCCATTCAGTGTGCAGTGAAACACCTAGTCATTTTGTTCAGGTAAGAAAGCTTGGAAATCTTACTGAAAGCTAGCTATGTTTGCGCAGTGGTCATGTGTCCAATACAAAATTACATTCCCTGCTATGATAATTGTTTAAAAACAAAACTTGCAACCGTATTTAGAGTGTGGTAGCATGCCCATGAGAGCAATGAGGCTTGATGGCAAATTTACAGGCTTAGGATACCCTTTCCATGTTATAGTTAACACCAGGTAGACTGCGCTGTAGTTCATACACATCCTAGGGGTCAGCAGAAATTATTTAGTATTATGTTTTATATTAATAATCCAGTTTCTCTCAGTTTGAGAGAAACTAAAACATTTTTGTGGAGAAGTAAAGCATTTTAGTAATTAATAAAAGTAATTAATAAAATACAGCTGTTAACAGTGCATCAGTAGTCTGTTCACTGAAAGCTACATAAGCAGGGAGTGACAAACTTTTCACTGGACTATTTACTATTCCATTTTTTCCCTTTGGAATGCATTTAGGAAAGCATGCCATTAAAAGAATAACTTAGAATCTACATTTTTTTTGTCATTCGCAAATTTGGGGACTGTGTTATGAGTTTAAAAAATGTGCTCCAATATGTTTCAGTAACAAACTGCTGCAGTAATGGACAGTGCTCGAAAGCCTAAATGTGAATAGAGTGCGTATATATTTCACAAATCATGTGTTAGATTTTCTTGAAATAAGAAACTAAACAAGTAAATGTTTTCTGGGATTTATTACAAGAAAAAAATCCCCTTCCTTAAACAGTTTCTTAGAGCCAAATTCATTGATTTGTAAAAATGGATTTCACATGCCCTGTACCTTTTATAAACTATAATGTACTTTCATCTTCACTAGGATCTGTTGATGATGGAGCAAGTGAAAGACTTTGCTGCTAACGTCTACGAAGCTTTTAGTACCCCTCAGCAACTGGAGAAATGATTGTTTTCCTTCAAGAAAACCTACAGTGGGATTCATCTGCATAAAAAGTATGCATAAAATCATCTATACCTAGAATGACAATTTGCTACCAAAATGCCTAATAAAAATATATTCTTAAGCAAAGTCTTCAGTTCATAATGAAGTAGATTTATTTGGCATCTTAATTTTTTTAATTCATCAACAGATCATTTTTGACTGGCATACCTAAACTAGTACACACAGTATAAATGTCAGAATTGTTTATAGTTTTTACATCATGGATCTCTGGTCCAAACAGACTATTATAGATACTTTAAAAAAATATGTGTAGTATGAATTGCAGTGTACCTTGACCAATAATGAGGGAGAGTCTCTTTGAGAAATAGATCTAGGATGTGTAAGCTTTGAAAATACATCATTTAACTAATCATGAGGTTTCCTAGACTTTGTCATAAGCAAGAGCAAGTCAGACATCTCACCAGCCACCCTTTGAAGGAACACATCATTGTCCCATAATGACAGAGCACTTTTCCTTTAGAAATCAGTGACTTTTAGTACCTATGATTGGCTATATTTTTCTTTGCTATCTTTTTCTTGGCTATTTCTTTGCAGTATTTTCTAAGTTTTGTTAACAAGCCGGAGAAAGTTGCTTATTGGTCTGCAGTTGTGTTGGTGCTCACACCCATTAATAATGAAAGAGTTTTATTCATTTGTATGTAAATAATTTTAATAACTTTGTATTGATTTTGAGTACAATATCTTGTTGCAATAAACTATTTTAATAAAATATAGTTTTTGTTTAGTTACTACTGTTCAGCCATTATTTGTTTGCCCCTTAGTATTCTTGCTATTTATTAGAAAAGAGAGCATGCTAGTTTTTAAGTTTCATTTTAACTGATAATATATTTGGTGCTTGCTTCTAACTTTTTTCTTTTTATTTTCTTTTAGAAAAAAAGTAAATAGACGTAAATCATTTTCTCTGGCATAGCTACAGTTCTTCATTTAGAAGAGCGGTTAGGGGGCTGGAGAGATGGCTCAGTGGTTAAGAGCACTGACTGCTTTTGCAGAGGACCCAGGTTCGATTCCCAGGACCCACATGGAGGCTACAACTCATCCTTAACTCCAGTTCTAGGGGAATCCAAAGCCCTCTTCTGACCTCCGCAGTATTGCACGACACGGGTGCACTCACATACATGCAGGCAATACGCTCATACACATAAAATAATAAATAAAATATTTTTTAAAAAAAGAAGAGCAATTAGGGCAGAACTACCTGAGTCATGCTTAGCAGCAGAGTAGATACACTTTTAGTCATAGTTGTTTTATTTCTAGTACATCATTTTGTGTCCCTCCAACATAACACAGCTAAGTAGAAGGTAGAAAATGAACTCCGAACTCTGAAGAACTTTCTAAGGCTTGGTCAGGTTCAGCAACAGGCATGCATCAAAGTGACAGAGAGGACACAACTTATTTTTTAAATTTCATAGGATATAATGATACTGATCTTTTAAAGATTTATTTTTATTTTGCTGGTGTGTGCGTGCGTGTGTGTGTGTGTGTGTGTGTGTGTGTGTGTGTGTGTGCGCGCGCGCGCGCGCGCAGGTGCCCAGTGAGGCTGGAAGAGGGTTTCTGATCCACTGCAGCTGAGTTACAGGTGGTTGTGAACTGCCTGATGAGAGTGGTAGGAATTGAACTCCAGTCCTCCAGAAGAGCAGCAAGTGCTCTTAACCACTAGGCCCAGTATTATCATTTCTAATTGAGTAAATGAAGAAATTGCATTTTGGGACATAAGGGTATGTGTGTGCGGAATAAGGAATGCATCTCTTCAGCAGTATTCACCCAGGATTTCAAGCAGGGAAATGTTGAGATTGAACAGCTATGACTTTGTCAAGAGAAAATTTGATCAGCTGAAAATTATTCCCTGGAATCACTGGCACCTTTGGAGTCAGCCATCAAGGGGATAGCGAGGGTAAAACCCTGTTTAATGTTGATTGACAGTATGTATCACTAATTTGCCTTCTAGTAGCACTAGAGCCCCCTTATCTAAAACAGTTTGGTAACCTAGAAAGTGACTTAAAACAGGTTATTGTAAATATATATCCTTAGACATTTTAACTTTAAAGTATATTCTTTTTTAGCAAATAATTTCCCATAGGAGCCAGGCCTTTTCTAACTTCAGTTTGCATTCACTGTGCTCCTGGTAGTGGTTAGTTTAGTTACATAGATTCTTCCACTGTACGTCTGCTGATAAGATATGTTGTGTTCTAGGTTGCCTCTCAAATCACATGCATTTCATAACAAAGCATGAACCAGAGGTGCAAAATTCTTACAGATTTTTATTATATTTCCCCAGTCTGTTAGTCCTGTTTTACCCACATTAAACCAATAGGTTTTATTCATAACGTTTAAAGGCAGCATACTTTATATAGTCATTCCACAGTATTCAACATAGCTGTCAAGGAAACTAAAGCTCTTCACAAGTCATCATCTTCTCATAATAAAGTGTTCAACTGGCATAATCAGTTTGGTAATTGTTTAGTCTCCTGGGGCTGCTGTAACAAATTACCATTAACTGGATTGCTCAAAGCATCAGAAATCTGTTCTCTAGCTGCTGGTATGAAATCTAAAACCAAGGTGTCCCAGGCCCTTGCTCCCTCTGCAGGCTCTAGAGAAATCCTTCTGCTCTTTGCCCTCAGGTTCTGGAGGCATCAGGCATTCCTTGTAGTAACAGAACCCTAATTATGTATGTGTCTAGGTCTTTTTCTAGGGTTATGGATACTCTAATTAAATTCAGGGTCCACTACCCCTCTCCCCATCAAACATCAGCTGGTCTCAAAATAGTGTATCAATAAAGACTTTATTTCCAAATTCACATTTTGGAGATTCCAAATAGACATATTCAGCCCACTACAGTTACCTAACTAAATTTTTGTACATACATAATTGCCACAGGAATGAAAATGTAGGGTGTGCCCAGTACTAAAAACCTTAGTTTGTCCTAGACATTAGTGTCTTTAGCAAGGAAATAAGCGTCAGCTAATTAATAAATTAGCCAAATTGACATTACTTAAATTGCCTCTCCTTTTTTCCTCCTCAAAACTTCATGTGTTATTGTGTGCATAAAACTGATATGAGCATTTACTTTGTTTGGAAATTAGGGGAGCAGATTCCTATCTAGTTGTGGTTTTCACTTAACAAAAGCAAAATGAAGTTTTCCTGATTCAGACTTATTTGAATAGCCTAACCTTTTAGAGCAATTGTGTTGCTTCAATGTTTGTAAAAAAATGAGAAAAAAGTCTTATTATTTATAGCCATATTGGGAATGCTAAAATCAACATCAGTGTCTATATTATTCAATCCAGTGATCTAGTTTGGTTTGACTTTAATTATTTAGACAGAATAATCAAAACCTAAAATTCAAACAAGGCAACTTTGTACCTTTTATTCACTCTAGGAAAAAGACTAGTTGGTTGAAGAACAAACCCTGTTGTCTTAAATAGGTAATTAAAAGCCTGATTTAGGGGCTAGAGAGGTAGTTCAACTGTTAAAGTCACTGTATTAGTTACTTTTCTGTTGCTGTGATGAAACACCATGATTAAGGAAACTTACAGGAAGAAGAGTTTATTTGAGCTTACAGTTCCAGGTTCCAGAGGGATTAGTGTCCATCATGGTGGGGAGGCATAGTGGCAGAGGTGGCTGGAGCAGGAGCAGAGAGCAAAGCACTCACATCTTCAGGCAGGCACAGGAATCAGAGAGCAGCAACTTGAAATCCAGTAAGGCTTAAGAACTCTCAAAGCCCACCCCAAGTGGTATGCTTCCTCCAGGAAGGCTGCACCTTCTAAGACATTGTCATTCAAGCCACTATAGTCACCCTCTTAAGACAGGAGTTTGGTCTCTAGCACCCATGTTGTCAAAGCCTGCCTATCCAGCTTACCTTTTCTGAACTCCAAGGGCACCCCCCACACAAGACACATGCCACATCAGTAAATCTTTTTTAAAGTCTGATTTTTAATTATCCTTACTACTTTCCTCCTAAATCACAGATTATTTTACTAATTTGTTTTAGTGATTTTGAATATTTATCAACTATAGTAAATTTCACATGTAAGCAGTGTATGCCCTAAATGAGTTTGAACTTGGGGTCTCACACTTTTTTGTGTAATCCAGTTGTTGGCAATGTGTCTTAGCCCCCCTGAAGACTTGAATATGTTTTATCATGTAGCTTTAGCATTGGTACTGTGATGGTTAATTTTCATTGTCAACTGGAACCGCCAAGGAGACATATCTTAGGTCATATCTGTGAAGGCATTTCCAGGGTTTAACTACACTGAGAAGACTTACCCTGAATGTGGGTGACACCATTCCATGGGCTGGAATTCCAAATTGAGTAAAAAGGGGGGAACAAATGGGTGCACCAGCATTCATATTTCTGCTTCCTGACTTCAGACTCACTGTGACCAGCTGCCTCATGCTCCTGCTACCATGCTTTCCCCACCATGATGGACTGTACCTATAAACTGAGGCAAAATGAATTATTCCTTTAAAGTTGCCTTTGTTAGGTATTTTGTCACATCAAGACAAAAAGTAATACAGAAGTAGGGCCTCCATTGTGATTAACCTGACCTTGTAGTTTATAGGGCTTTGGAGCTGGTTTACAGGAAGTATGTAGAAGAATTTGAAGCTTTGGACTAAAGAAGTCCTAGATACAGGTCATATATAAGCAGAGCTTAATGAGCCAATCTGGTGGGAGTTCAAAAAAACAGAATGTCAGGACAAATTGTGTTAGTTATTTTTCTGTTGCTGTGATAAAACACCATAACCCAAAGCAAAGGGAAGTGTTTGTTTTATCCCAAAAGAGTCCAAAAAGACAGCAGGTTGAAGCATAATGGCAGGAGAAGGAATCAGAACAATCACATCTTTATCCACAAACAGAAAGGAGAGAGTGAACTGGAAGTGAGATGGGGCTATAAACACTCAAAGCCCACCCCAGTGACATACTTCCTCTAACAAAGCCACACCTCCCAATGTTTCCATAACCTGCCCAAGCAGTGCCACCATTTGGGAGCAAAATATTCAGATATTTGAGCCTCGAGGGAACATTTCTCATTCAAACCACCACACTAATGTAGACAGAAGTCCTGACTTGAGCTTTCAGGGAGGAATAAGGACTTCTGAGAACTGGATTGGGAGCCATTCATTTTACATTATGGTAAAACAAAAACAATTTTGCTGCTTTCTGCCTGTCTTGAAAACAAGTGAAGCTGAATTCAGAGGTAATGGACTAAGTATTTGGCAAAGTAAATTTGAAGACATCATATTCAGTCTGTGGCATGGTTATTGCTTACCACTCTTGACAGAGAGGGCATAAAGATACAAAAAAAAAATATGCAGTTTGGTAAGGAAAGGAGTGGGAGTTTAAAACTTCAAACAAGGCAGGTCTGAAGAAGTAGGTGTATCATTAAGGAGAAACCTCACTCTGCACTGACAAGAATAATGGTTCCCTAAGAGCAAGACCCCACCCATCAAAGGCTCCAACATGAGAAAATGCAAATTCACTTGAAAAGTAAGCCTGAACTTAGAATGATACCAAAGGGGCTCTCTAATCAAAACAACTACCTGTAGAAGTGCTTCCCTTGGTTAAGCCATCAAGGTACACAGAAGCCACTACAGCCCTGGCAGAGGAGAGCCAGGCTACATCTAGAGCAGATAGCAGAACTTGGCAGCATCATTCACAAGGTCTTGCAGGCATACAAAATGCAAGAGTTGGGGGGCCATGGAGGCTTGCACCAAGGTTCCAGAAAGCCAATGGGGGACCAGGCAATGAGTGGCAGGGTAGGATTTCCTGCAAAAAGACACTAAAATGCTCATTGCTTAAAGCTGAAAAAAATAAAGTCTTCTAATGAAGGTCCCAGGATGTTGGAGATGCCAGGATCATAGGACATCCACTAAGGAAAGCTGCAAGCTCAGAGTGGAGCCAGCCCAAGAGAGAGGGTGCATGTACAGGTGATAAAACTCAAGGAGTAGGGCTACCCAAGGCTGTTGGGGCCCAGATGATGACACTATAAGCCTCAGATGTAGAATATGGAGTTTCAGAGTTTGGTGTTTGATTTGCTGAGTTCTAGTCTGGCTCTGACATAATCTTTCCTTGTTATGTCCCCATTCTCCCATTGGGAATGAGAATGTTTACCCTGTCATTGTATGTTGAAAGTTTGTGACTTTTCTTTTTATTATTTAAGGGTTCATAGTTAAACAACATTGTCTTGGAGACTTTCATTTCAGCTTTGGACTTTGGAACAGTGTTGAAACCATTAAGACTGTGGAGACTTCTAAAGAGTTAGACTGCATGCATTTTGTATTATGAGATGACGGTGAGCCTAGGGGGATAGAAAGTTAGGATTAATGTGTCTGTGTGTCAAGGTGACAAAGAGCATATTGTGATGGTTAATTTTCATTGCCACCCTCACTGGATTTGGAGGCACCTAGGAGACATACCTGTTAGCACATTCCCAGAGAGGTTCAACTAAGGTGTGAAGACTTACTCTGAATGTGGGTGGCACCATTCCATAGCCCGAGTCCTGGACCGAATAAAAAGGAAAAAGCTAGTAGAACACATTCATTCATCACTCTCCTGACTGCAGACCCATTGTGACCAGCTGCTTCATATTCCTACCACCATGATGGACTGTACCCTCAAACTATGAGGCAAAATAAACTCTTAAATCCTTAAGTTGCTTCTGTCAGGGATTTTGTCACAGCAAGGAAAAAAGTAACTAATCCAGCTACTCAACAAGCCTGTATCTAATTTGCTTAAACATTTCTTTTCCGCTTTCATTCTCAGTTTTTTAAATGTGTGTGTTGTGCTTGCATGTATTTAAGTGCATGTTGTGCATGCAGTGCTCTCAGGCCAGAAGAGGGTGTTGGATTCGTTTGAACTGAAGTTAAAAATGATTTTTAGCAGTAATGTGGGTGCTGGGAATGGAACTCAAGTCCTCTGCAAGAACAGCCAGTGCTCTTCACCCTTGAGCCCCTTCTCCAGACCCCTCATTCTCAATCTTATCAGGTTAAGAAAAGAAGGATAGGAATCTAAGCAATTCACAAATTTTAATCTCAAAACTGCTTACTTCAAACATATGCTTCTATAACTGTGTTATCTATCTTTTAATACAGTTTTGGATTTTGTTTTGTTCTGATCCTTTTAAAATTTTTGGTTTTCCTTAGTCTAGAATTTGAGATCATTTAAAAATATGCAAAATGGATCTTTAATAAAAGATTGAGATTTATGACTACTGAAATATTTTTATTTTTAAAAAATATTTTATTTTTTTATGTATATGAGTGTATTGCCTGCATACATATAAGTGCACCTGTGCCATGCAATGCCCGCAGACGTCAGAAGAGGACGTCAGAGTCCTCTGAAACAAGTTAGGGATGGATGGTTGTTAGCTACCATTGGGTACTGGGAATTGAACTTGGATCCTCTGCAAGAGCAGCCAGTGCTCTTAACCACTGAGTCATCTCTCCAGCCCCAGGACTACTGAAATATTTATCCACAGGATTATTTGGCATAGTTTCAGATATTTGATAGTCCAGTCAGGTGTGATGGGGTGTACCAAGCAGTGAGATGACTTGAGTCTAGAAATTCTGAGACCAGGCTGGATAGTGTCTTGTCTCAAAAAGAGAAAGAGTATTTCTTAATGGTGGCAAAAATTTCAGCAATGCGTAATTTTTTTTAAAGTTCTTAACCTTAGCAAGATTTTAGGACATAAATATAATGTTTAATTTTCTCAAAAGAATTTTTGGAACAATGATGTTTGAATTTGCATAATGCGACAAAAGAAGATGCGACTATCATAAACACCTTTGGTTTTGCTTATTTTTATTCTTCTGAGATGGTCTCTTTAGGTAGTCCATGCTGGCCTTGAACTCATGAGCCGTCTGCTTCACCCTCCCTAGTGCTATAAGTATAGGTGTGCACCACCATGTCTGGCCATATTGAACATTTTTTGGGAATGAGTTTAGTCAGCTTTTCTTAAACTTACATCAGAACCACCATTATTTTTGCCTCTTTTTGTGAAAAGACCTAAGTAGCCTTAATAATTTTCAACTAGGTTTGCAACTTCAGTTTGTGGATAATATACAAATGTAATCAAATCTACAAATTTAAGCTAGACCTCAAAAATAGCCCCAACCCTTCCAATCTCATGTCCTTCTGTTTCTACCTCCCCACATTTAAAGAATATATGCTAAAATACCAACAGTGGTTAGCTAAGCAGTGATTTCTGTCCTAATTTGTCCATCACAAATAGCAGTTTTATAAATAAGACTTAAAATGAAAAAAATAGTTACTGGATGCATTAGAAATAGATATCTGACCAAATTTATTAGCTATTATCTGCATTATAATGATTGCCAATGAGAAAGAGGAGAGAAGAGAGAGAGAGAGAGAGAGAGAGAGAGAGAGAGAGAGAGAGAGACACCCTGGATGGCTTCAGCAATAGAAAATGATTTTCCCACAGTTCTGTATGCCTGACGTCCAAGATCAAGATGTGGAAAGGCTTGGTTTCTTTTGCACCTTTCTCCACGGCTTGCATGTGGTCACCTTCTCACTGTCTTCATACACGGTTTCCCCTCCATTTTAGTGTCTTTCCCTAATAGGGAAAAGTCCTATTGTATTAGGGCCTTATGCCTGATTCTGTTTCCAAATACAGTTACATGGGGCACCAGGGCTTCAACATGAGAATGGGGGTGGAGAGAGAATTCAGTCCACAGTGCTTTAAGTTTGTAACTGCTCTAAAATTGCCACTTGTGATTCACATGTAGGGATGAATTCAGTAGGAAGAGACTATAGGAAAGTGCATTGAAGGGTTCAAATGGTATGATGAGTGATTTAGGAAAGAATCCAGGAAAGGAGGCTTCATTGCATAATTATTCCATTTCCCTGGATCATTTTTACCTTGCTTTCTCCATGTGCTAATATTCCAGAAACCTGACACTTCCTGAGGTAAGAGGTAGCCATGGCGTGTGCCAATCAGCGGCAGGTTAGGTCACATTACTGAGTGTTAGAGTCCACCCCCACCTACAGGGCATCTGATGAAAGTTTAGTTGTGGCAGTTCTACCGTAATGCCATTTGACCCTGAGGAGATCCAAGTCAGTGGCTGTCCATGGCCCAGTAGTTTTACCTGAAATTAGAAACAGATGATACATACAAATGTTTCCAAATAAATCACTTTGACTCACCCACTTCCTAAGGAGTAATTGAGTCTCTGAAGAAACAACAGACAGAACAGTGATTTCTTCATCTTTAGCACTCACATGCTGTTTTACAAACTCTTGATTCTATTGCTCCTGTGTTGAGTGGAGTGCCAGAAGGAGGAAAATGCTTGAAGAGAGGATAAAAGAAAGTGAGTGGGACCAGTCCTCCCAGTTCTCACACACAGTTTGAAGAAAGGCTTCCTCCTTCTAGACGTCCACTACTACAGATTTTCCCTTTGCCTCCACTGGTCAGTAGCACAGAAATTCAACCAACGATTGCTATAATTATTTTGTAACCTTGGCCTTGATCTTACTAAATGAATTAAAATAAGTAGTTCTGTGGGTTATCTGAACCATAATTCAGGTGGGTCAATGCAAAACAAAACCCCTACATTTTAATTATATTTAGTTGGTGCCAAAGCGGACATAGATAAAACGATAATCACTGTCATGGTGCAGGCTTGGAAGTTGTACTTTAACATTGAATTTTAACTCCATCTTCTTTCTGCCTGATCAACTACAAGTGTTAAAAATAAAATGTGGAGGGTACTGGAGGGATGACAGCAGTTAAAAACAGTGGCTGCTCTTACAGAGGACTCAGGTTCAGTTCCCAGCACCCACATGGTGGCTAACAACTGTCCATAATTCCAGTTCCAAGGGATCTGACGCCCTCTTCTGACCTCCACAGGCATTGCACAACAAGGGTGCACTTACATACCTGCAGGCAATGCACAACACAGGTGCACTTACAAACATGCAGCAGTGCACTCATCCACATAAAAAAAAATAAAATATTTAAAATAAAATGAGGAAATGTGACATAATGAAAATCATTTGGATACTTCACTCCGCATAGATCATCAATCTGAGTTATATCACAATCAGCTCAATGCCAGACCTGACAGAGCCACAGACTGCAATGGTAGAATTGTAATAACTGCTTTCATCAGGTGGGTTGTTGGGGGAAGCACCTGAAGTAAAGTTCTATGAAAAACTCACTTTCAGTGCATGTAGTGAACTTGAACAATACAGAATGCCAGTGAAGAATAATACCCATTTCACAGTGATAGGCATAGAGATACTATAGCTTATAGATTGAATTTTCTTAGAGTTTCAAAAAGTTTTGTCTAAACAGTTGCCACTGTTGCTTTGTCACAGCTGGTTTTTGTTTTTTTGTTTTTTTGTTTTTTTTTGGTCTTTTTGAGACATTAGGAAGCTGTAGCCTGCAGCTGTCCTGGAACTCACTATGTAGACCAGTCTGGCCTTGAACTCACAGTGATCCACCTGCCTCTGCACCCCCACCAAGTGCTGGGATTAAAAGCCTGTGCCACCATGCCAAGCTGTCACAGCTCACTTTAAAGTTAGTCTCATTAGGTATAAGTTAAACACACATAAGTTTCCCTTGAAAGTAAAACAAGTTACGTTTTCTTCAGGACATTTTAGTCAGCAGTTTAAAGGAACAATAAAGATAAAATTCCTTCTTACCTCTGTTGCCCCCAGACTAGCTATGGGTTGGTCAAGAAACAGCTTTCCTGAGATGGGCCATTTAAAAAAAATAGCATAAACTACTTTTTTCTCGGGTTTAGATGTGTACCTGGTTAGAAGGAAAAGGAAACAGCATAGTATCAAGTTACAGCCTATGTTTCTCCTTTTTTACGGATCAGGCCTGGAATTAGTTTACAGATATTTGACATTATCTCCACTAATAAGATGAAAAGACCCACCTTCCCTCATGGCATAGAAAATGTCTTCCTCTTCCACCCCTTCAATATTAAAAGGAAGTTAAATGTGGTTTTGTTTTTGTTGAAGCAACATCTTGATCTGTGGCTCAGGCTGGTCTTGAGCTCACTGCAGTGCTCTTGCCTCAACCTCCTGAGTACGGGCATTACAGGCATGGAGCTCACGTCTGAGTACAGGCATGGAGCTCACGTCTGAGTACAGACATAGAGCTCACATCTGGCTGAAAGGAAGTTTGGTGTGTGTGGGTGGGTGGTTTTCTTGAGTACGTGTTGTTATTCAAACTGCTTTTGTGAGCCGAGAACAGAGTGTGGGAATAAGCTAAGTGGAACAAGATAGCTCTCCACCTGCTGATTCCGACCTGCACAGATATACAGTGCACTTGGTGTTAGGGAATCATGCAAAATAAAGCCTGCTTTTTGTCCTTACGCAGTTCTGCTGGAATGAAAAGGCACAGCAGTCACACAGATAACAAAAAACGTGAACTCTCAATCACATTACAAAAGAAAAGTAAAAATTTTTGATAAATCTATTTAGATCGGGCCATCAGGAATCTATTCAGATTGGGCCATCAGAAATATCACACACACACACACACACACACACACACACCCCACACACACCACACACACCCCACATTTAACCTGAGATTTCCAGCATGATTGAGAAGAAAGGGAAGAGATAAAGGGAATATGTTTTAGACAACGACAGCCATCCATGCATCCACCCAACTCCCCAACAATACTTACAGAAATCTTTAAACAGTCCCCACTTCTTTTAGGGCTAGTGACACTGCATTGCACATGGTCCCTAACCCACACCCCACCTTCTACTGGGAGAAATTAGAATGAGAAAATAAACTTGCACCAAGTCATAATTAAACATACGGAGAAACCTGAAGCCAGTTAGGAGGAAGAGGCCCAGTAGCCCAGTAGGCATGCTAAGGCACACCTTTCATCCCTGCACTCAGGAGGCAGAGGCAGACAGATCTCTGAGTTCTAGGCCAGTTTGTTCTACATAGTGGGTTCTAGGCCAGCCAAGACTACACAGAACCTGTCTCAAAAACAAAAATAAAACGGAAGGATAAGGCCTACTAGGTTGGAACAGCAGGCCTCAGGTGTGATATTAAGTAGAACAGCTAAGGAAGACCTCTTTGAGAAGGCAGCCACGAGGCCTGGAGAACAGGGAGCTCCATGTAAGCATGTGGAAAAAGCCCTCCAGCATGTGCAGGGCAAGGGCAAAGTCACAGGGCAAGAGTATGCTTAGCTTGCTGGTAGGACAGCTGAGAGAAGAGGGGCTCAAGGAGTGAGGGCAGCATGAGTGGGAAGGAGCAGCTAGACTGACAGAGCAAGGAGCAGATTTCGTAGGGCCCAGGAAACCTTTGTGAGGCCCCAATTCTTCCCTGAATCTGGAAGGCTTGGAAGAAATCTAAGCTGGGCATGATGTCACCTTGGGCTATACTGTGAAACCCTAAACAACCAAGCAAGCAAACAAACAAACAACATTTTCTATGATTGCTCTCTGGACAACAGATTAAAAGAACAAGGGTAGAGTGAGGGGGGAGGTGGCTCAGTTGGTAAATGCTTATGTGACAAGTGTGAGGACCTGAGTTGAGTTTGGTGCCCCTATAATCTCAACAATGGTGAGATGGGAGGTAGAGACACACAGTTCCCTGGAAGCGCATGGATGAGCTAGCCTGCCTACAAGGCAGATTTCTAGGCGAGGGAGAGACCTTGTCTCAAGAAGTAGAAGGCACCTGAGGAATGGCACTCAAGATTGTCCTCTGACCTCCACATTCACACACACACACACACACACACACACACACACACACACACACCAAAAAGATAATAGGAAAAAAAAAAAAAGGATCAGGGGCAGGAATAGGATCAATCGAGAAGGTATTGAAATAACCCAAGGGTAAGCCATGAGATAGAGCCCCCACAGAAGATACAGTGGTCCAAGTTTAGATATAGCTCAGAAATAACGATAATGAGAGCTACTGATGGATGGCTGTGGGTGTAGAAGAAAGGTGAATTAAAATCACTGTTTTGGAGCTGGAGAGATGGCTCAGCAGTTAAGAGCACTGACTGCTCTTGCAGAGGACCCGGGTTCCACATGGCAGCTATGAACCATCCTTAACTCCAGTTCCAGGGGAATCCAACACCCTCTTCTGACCTCTGCGGCATTGCATGACACGGGTGCACTCACATACATGTAGGCAATACACTCATACACATAAAATGACAATAATTTTTTAAAAATCATTAAGTTTTTTGACCTGACAATCACCCAAGAGGATTAGGCTCCCTTAGTGGAGATGGGGAAGACCCTGGGGAAACCAGTCTGTAGGCAGTTCTGGCTTATAACAAACTTTAAGACCAGGAATTCAAGTTTAAGACGTCAGTGCATCCAAGTGGAAACGCTGGATAAGAAGTTAAATATGTGGGGCTGGGGTTCTAAAAGAGGTCTGAACTACAGAGGTCATTCATATGAAAACCATGAAGAATTAAGATATTTAGAGAAAATTCAAAGTTCAAGGACACTTCAAGATTTAGAGGTTGGGAACATCAGGGGCAATTCCCCCAGGAGATTGACAAGGAACAGCCAAGGAGTGTGATCATCTGCGGCAAATGCTGCCAATAAGTTAAAAAAAAAACCCGAGAACTGGAAACTACTGGGTCTGCAAAGTGGAGGTCATTTTGAGTCTTGATAAAGCAATTTGTGGAGAAGTGAGATAGAAGCCTGACAAGAGTAATTCAAGATAAAAAAAAAATGGAACACCAAATTAGAATATCAATTAAAAATTGCTCTGTGAAGATATTTTAGTGTTAATGAAAGGAAGGAATGGAAAGGGATTTGGAAACAGTAGAGCACCTTTTTTGAGACAGGGTCTCCCTGTAGTCCCAGCTGGCCCAGAATTTGCTGTGTAGACAGGCTGGCTTTGATTCACAGAAATCTGCCTGCTTCTGCCTCCCAATCCCATGCTGGGATTAAAAGCATGTGCCATCACGCCTGGCTGGGAGCACTTTTTAAAGATGAAACAAATAATACCTCCATATGTGGGTGGGAAAGGAACTAATGAAAAGTGAAGGAGACTAAAGATGAGGGGGGAAGTAGAGAATTGCTGTGACAATCTTTGCCTGGAGGATTTGGGGTGTGATCCAGAAAACAAGGTTTGGCCATAAAGCCAAAGGTGAACCAATTTGACACTGTATTCTTGTACTGTATGTCTAACCAAGCTCAGCAGTCAAGGGGCGGCTAAGTACAGCTGGATTTAACCAAATATAATATCCTGTCAAGTGAGTTTAAGAGAGGGAGGGAGGGTTTAGGAGTAAGGGTACATGCGACATTAATTACAGTGATGGGCCACTACACCCACTAAACTCTCCATTCCCTCCTCCTAGCTCCTCTAATTTTTGTCTCTATGGTTTTGACTACTCTAGGTACCTCATAAATGGAGCCATATAGTGTTGTCTCTTTGTGACTGGGTCATTTTACTTCTTAACAATTTCGTGAAAATTTTATCTGTTGGAATTTCCTTCCTTTTCAAAGCTGAATAATATGTATACACCATTGTATGGTGCACTTCACCCTTTACTTATCTATCCATCAGTGGACTTCGCTTGCTTTCACATTTCAGTTATTGGGACTATAATTCTTCTGATTGCACTCTTTGGGGGTATATACCCAGAAGTGGAATTACCGGATCATAGAGTAATTCTATTTTTAATGTTCTGAGGGACTGGCATACTGTTCATCACAGCTGTACCATTTTGCATCCTCACTAACAGTGTAGTGAACATGAGCTCCAATCTTTCCAAAACCATCAGCAACCCTTTTTCCTAATAGTAGCCACCTGAAAAGACATGAGATGGTATCTCCTTGAAGCATCGACTTGCATTTTCTCTGAAGTTCCGTAATGTGATATTAAGTATCTTTTTGGTGCCTATCACTCATCTGGCAAATCCTACCAGCACACCACTGTCTAAGTAAGGCAGACAGATGATGCTTCTTAAGTCACCATTTCTCAGAATCTTGGCTAATTTTAATTTACTATTTTCTTTACTCTTAATTATCTCTTGCTTTTGATGGGATATAATATCTGCAAAACTTGGAATTTGCTGGTGACTAAACAGTAGTCACTTTAGATTAACCACTCAGCATTTTTTACTTATCTAAATGGTTTATATTTTTATAAGTGTTGGCTAATTTGGCTAAACACTGCCCACCACTAAAGGATATCTAGAAATTATTTAGGCAGAATTTGATAAGCAAGCATTAGGCTCAATAACATACTAATTCTTACTCTTTATAGTTGAGTCAGGTTGGAAAGTGCGTGGTGCAGGTGCTGCTCATCTGATTTCTCCTTTGATTCTGCTCTCTCTTTACAGCTCTAAGAAATTAAGTGCTTCCCTCTGTCAAACAGTACTTGGTAACTAGAGAGACTTACCACACATCTGGGGTGATAGTGTCATTCTGGGATCGCCAAGTGCGTGTTTCATAAATCCCTTCCCCATTGACTTTGAGCCAGGTTCCCATTTGCCTTAGTCGCTCTTCGAAAACTGCAGAAATGGTGCCATCTAGTGTGGGGCCAAAATTCATCAAAAGATTTCCTCCACAGGCAACTGTTTCTACAAGTTGCTAAAAAAATTTGAGAATAAATACAGTTCTTAGAAAAAAATCAACTTCACCTCCTGTGTGTTAATGCCTTGTATGTTCATATGTATATATAATCAAATAATGGACAAGTCATAGAGGGCCTTGGGTTTGTGGCCACTGAGCTCTTCAAATTATAGGAAATAATTCTTGTAACTACCTCACTATTAAGAATATTACAAATGAGGGGCTGGAGGGATGGCTCAGTGGTTAAGAGGACTGGCTGCTCTTGTAGAAGACCCAGGTTCGGTTCCCAGCATGGCAGTTAACAACTGTCTCTAACTCCAATTCCAAGGAATCTGATGCCTTCCTCTGGCCTCGACAAGCACTGCATGCATGTGGTGTAATACGTACATGGAAGCAAAATATTCATACACGTGAAATAAGAATAAATATAAAAGAATATTGCAAACGAATAGCCACCCAACATTTTACCATACCTTCACCAATTCTTCAATTGTAAGATAATCACCGATTCCAGCTTCTCGCCTGTAGCCCCAGGAAAACTTGTCTATTGTCATGCAGTTTTCCCATTTATGTGGCAAAAGATGTCCTGGGTTGTAACGGTCACTGCAGGTATAGTAACCACCGTGCTTACAGATGGAGCCAGCTCCCCATCGATCATTGGTGACTACTATGTTCCGAACAGGGCTGAAATGAAAGGTATAATTTCTTTTAAAGAAGAAGTGTGCTTTTAAAAATATTTGTGTTAATTCTTTGAGAATTTCATACAATGCATGTCACTGAAGATAGGTCTACCTGAAATCTACTCCCCCAAAATAACCATAGCATAATAGAGAAGGGAAGGGAAACCCCCATTTCTAAAGCCAAACAGATCTGTGGTGACTAGAGTCCTGGCTCTGTCACTTTCTAACTTCCAGGAAGCTTAGAGCAAATTACTGAACCCCTCTAAGAGTGAGTTACCTCCCTATTATTACAACAAAATTGCTTTGAAACCCAGTATTCCGTAATGGTGAGCTCATGTTGTAAATGACAGAGTAAGTTCAATTTATACTCACATTTTTCCCAAGGACCAAGAAGATATATGACCCATTACAATTGTGCCTAATTCTGGAAAATCTCAGAAAAATTGAGTGTCGACATCATGTGAAATATGCTTCTCAAACTTCTTATCATGACGGGTAGATCAAGAAGAGAAAACTCGACGCCACATACAGGGGACTTTGATTTACAAATTGAAGCAGGGAGTTCCTAGTCATTTCCTTTGTAAAGAGTTCCTGGAGACACCGATGTTTTCAACATCAATATTTCTCCAGAACCTTTTTATTTGTGCCCTCTGTGGGTCCAGGAAGCATAGAAAGAAGGCTGTCCTGCTTCCCAGGGCCATCCTGAGTGCTTCCTACTTACAAAGGTAAACCGAGCCCGTATAGTTCAAACCTAAGGGAGGATTTCCATCAGAACTCTCTTTTTACAAGCAGCCTTCAGCCTGTCAGGAAGTCAGAGAAAAGACAGAGAAGATATAGGAAAACCAATGAGAAAGAGGAGAGAAGACCGGCAAGGGTGAAGCTGACACGGTGGCAAAGTACTTACTGGAAGGTAGAAAAACAAAAGGGAACAATCAGAGGATCTGGGAGCGCGCAATCCAAAGCAATGTACGCGATCCAAAGCAATGTACGGGCCACACCAGACAAGATGAGGGATGGGGCAGGACCCACAGAATGAGCATTTTTAAAGTCCTTGAGCCCATGATTTTAACATTAATTAAAAATCAGTTTAGCTGTATTTGACTCCTGCTTTGTTTACTCTCGATTATTTTGACGAAATACTGAGAAAGCTACTATGCATTGTTTGTGATTTCTTTTCTCCTCCATCCTGTGAATGAGCCTAAAAGCAAAAACTTCACAAGGCATGGGGATTTAAACGCTTCTGTGCATAGTAAGAGTGTAAGCAGAGCTGCCTAGCAGCACACAGACCTTTCGTTATACAGCCAGGCTAAGAAGCCAGTGCTGTTCCAGTAGTGATCTGGTGCTCCTCCATCTCCATCCGACCACAGAACTTCAGGCTTATACTTGTTCACTAACTCATAGAGCTCAGGCAACATTTTGGAGACTGGAAATTGCCGCATTTTGAATGAACTGGATTCATCCTCCAGGAAGAGTGGGTGAAACCATTCAAAAAGAGAGTAGTAGAGTCCAAAGCGCAAGTCGGTTCTGTTCCTGATGGCCACAGCAAGCTCTTTGACAATGTCCCTCTTTGGGCCCTCATCTACGGCATTCCAGTTCCAGGAATACTCTGAACCCCACAAGGTAAAGCCTGGAAAATAACAGCAGAAAACACTTGTAAGTATTACCACCTTTACGTCGCTACATCTCAAGCCATAAAAGTGCCAAAATAAGATGTAACGAAGTGCTTCTCCAAATAACTGTTTCATGGCAAATTTTTAATAGTCTATCTTGTGTTCTATGTGCATGCAGGTCCAGAAGAGGCCAGAAAAAGGCATCAGATCCCCTAGAACTGGAGTTAAGCCACCTGATGTGGGTGCTAGGAACTGAACTCCCATCCTTTGCAAGAGCAGCCGATGCTCTCAGTGGCTGAGCCATCTCTCCAGCTCTGGATGTTGCTTTATTTATTTATTTATTTATTTATTTATTTATTTATTCGTTTGTTTCTTTGTTTGTTTGAAGACAGGGCCTCCCTGTGGCCACAGCTGGTGTATAGAAGAGATATGTAAACTAAAATGCTGAAGACATAGTATAAAATCCTCCAAAATTTCAGTCAGTGCCCAGACACTTAAGAATTTTGTTACTGTTTCAGTTAGCTTTTTTTTTTTTTTTTTTTTTTTTAAACGGTCTCTTTAGTCCCAGCCCACCTGGAACTCACTATGTAGACCAGGCTGACCTCGATCTCACAGAGAGCCACCGAGATTGGGATTAAAGGCATGTACCCATGCCCAGGGTTCAAGTAAACTTTTTAAGAATCTTGAAGAACAGACATTCATAAAAGACCTTTGCTGCATCTGTTTGTTATTGTGAGTTAGGACAAGTCTAAGAATTGACTCACTCTTTAAATTCATTGTAAGAAGTTCTTAAAATAGTTTGTACCTTCTCCATGAATGACCACAGTAAGCTTCAAGACAGCATCAATATTTAGGGTCTATCTCAAAATTTTCAACTCAATTGGCCCTAATGTCAGACAACACCATAACCACATGGGTCTTCAGCTTAGTACTACCACCATGAGCTCAGTGACTCTGCTCCTAGCTGAGACCAGCAGTACATTTTCTGTTCTTGGAAATGTATATGTGCCATGTACATCATCTGCCCTCACAGTTAAGGAATTTTTTTTAACAAGATCACTTTGTGTCACATAGTTGGAGAACTTTCTATACATCTAGAATCTAACATGTTCTCAGGCAAATACTCTTTATGTCGATCTTATCAGGAAAAACATCAAAGGAAGAAAATTGAGAAGTTACCCAACTGCAGCTAAAGGGAAAAATATTCTAATTGCAGATTTGGGGTTTTGGTTCTTCTCTCCTGCTTCCCTCCCACCTCTGGAGAAAATAAGAAAAAATTTCAAGCTAAAGAGGATCATGCAAAGGAAACTACCTAATGCATTAACATGAGTTTGGGATAAAAATCTATCAGTGTGTCTCTGGTTCTCTGGTTCTGGGTGGTTATGGCAGAATCTATCCTCTTAATGTATGGCTTCTGTGCTCCTTAGAGATACTCTTCAGATGTTCCTGGACCCCATCATAGTTCAATAACTCTTCCCTTGAGGTGATCTATCTTGCTTTCATTACTAGCAACTCATCCAACATATGCAACATTTGCACATTTAAAAGTTGGTCAAGAGTATAGCTAAAGTGTATCAGTCATGACTGCAGCATGATGTTTTTGCAGAATGAAAATGGAAGAGCAATGCTAGTAAGAAACTTCGACCTGCAATATTCATCATCTTCAAATGCCTTTAAATAAACCTTGGAAATTGCTGAATGTTCACATAAGGATTGTGATCATTCTCACATTCCGTGGATGGCACAAGCTGTCTGATTCACAATGTTTCCCACTGTTGTGGAATATATGGTCTTTAAAGTATAAGCAAATGTCAACACCCACATATGGTCACTCTAAAAGAAACCTGATTCCATAAGGGCGACCTTGCTTTAGTATCTTCTTCCAAAAGAATGATTTCCCATTTCCTAACTACTGGCAGCATTTGTGGGCATGTGTTCTACTTACCTTCGTGATGTTTGGTAGTTAAGACAACATATTTGGCACCAGATGCCTGGAGAATATCTGCCCACTGGCTGGCATTAAAAAAATAGGCTGTAAATAGTGGCCCAAAATCCTCATATTTAAAACCAGGAGGGTAATTATCTTTCATAAAGTCCACAAACTTTGATCTTTTTTCCTTTAGCCAATACCACCTATGGGGGGGGGGAGAAAATAGCATGTGAACAACCTGAACATAAATATTGGAAATAATCACCTTGGCGCCTCTAATATCTACTATCCCTGACTCAAATTATTCCAGAGTCTCTTTCACTTCTCATCAGTGTGACTCTGCACTAAGGAAAGCTTATGTGAACCCAAACTCCCTGCTCACTTTCCATCGCTTCCCTTGTGGAACAGTAATAATAACCCAGCCACCAATGAAGATGTCATTTTCTTAAGTGGACTTATCCTTCAAGGTGACTTGTTACATGCATTCTGTTCTGAACAATAGTTATTGCACCTAAAGTGCATCAGTAAAGTTTCACAAGGAAACTACACTGGAAATAAAGTAATCACACCAGCAGCAACTGTCCTCATGAAATAAATGCCCACCCCATCTCTGACCCCATCTCTAATTTGTCCAACACCTCTCCTAAAGAGTATTTGCACTGTATGAACCAATCCGCAGCCAGCACTGCATCCCCAAACCTAGGCCACAGCCTTTCCTGACTGAAACTTCACTAAAAGACATCACAGGCAGTAAGCATGTCCTTCACATGCATACATCCTAAGGTCCATCACAGCTATAACAGAGGTATGAGATCCATGGGAGCCGGTGGACATTGAGGGGAAGGAGACCAGAGCGATTATGGGATTTCTTAACGAAGGAAGAAACTGGCCTTCCTATTTGGATGAGGTTGAAGATTGTGCAAGTTTATGAGGCTTACCTACCATCATGTGACCATGAAGGTTCCTCCATCTTTCAGGCCATCAACTTCTTGCTGTATGAGGTAATGCACCTCTATTATCACCGCCCACCCCCCTTTTGATGCTTTCTAGTGCCAGTATGACTTCATAGGTGATCCATGGGGTTTTTTCAGGCACTTGAACTTGCTCTGCCACTGAGTTACACCCACCAGCCAGGTCCGCCGGTAATTTGTCAGGTGGCACCAACATTCAGCTTTTATGCAAATAAAGCACTTAGTCAAGAAATTCCACATTCAACATTCGGAAGTGAGAACCAAATCACGATCCAAACAATGACAAGGAGACTGTACCAGGCTGAATGGTGGCTTCCACTGTCAGTGGGGGACACAAAGCTCTGCGTGAGAGAGAGTGAATGAGTGTCTGTGTGTCTGTGTGTCTGTGTGTTGAGAAGGATATGCACTCACCAGAACCATTCGCTACCAAAGCTGGGTACAGAAAACACTCCCCAATGGATGAAGATGCCGAACTTGGCCCGGTCGAACCAGGCAGGCAACGGGCGGCTGTCCAGCGACTCCCACGTGGGGTCGTAGCGCTGGGTGCTGGTGGCCCGGCACCGCGGCAGGAGCGCGGGCAGCAACAGCAGCAGCGGGAGCGCCAGGCGCCTGCGAGCCAGCTGGGGCTGCTCGGAGGACCGCATGGCCCCAGGTCTTCTCTGCAAGGTCCCAAGGCAGCCCGAGAGCTGGCCTTCCGTCTTCTGCCAAGTATGCTCCGCCGCTGTCACCTGACCAAGACCAGCTTGGTCAGATGACAGATTACAGTTTTCCCTGCGGTGGGAGTGGCCGGGTCTGGTGCGCCGGGAGGCCTAATGACCCCGGGAAGACTGCGTTACTTACAAAGCCTTTTACTACACAGCCACGTTTTACCCGCCTTGGTTCTGTTTCCGGATTTGTCTGCCGTGACACAAAAACGTGAGGGTAACCTGTGACCAGGGTCTCTGCCTCCTCCTGTGTGTCGGAAGGGATCCAACTTTGGACTTGCAGCTGGAGGCAGGAACCTCTGCTTGGGCGGAGCGGGGTGGGGGCGGGTGGTGGGGACGGACAACACGACAAGGACACTCGCAGGCCAGATCTTGGAAAGCTACCAACAAGGTTCTCAGCGCTCAGTCTGCCTTAGAATTTCTGGGGATGTCAGAACTGTGGCTGCCAACCTCGAATTTATATCATATGGAATCCCAAATTCTAGGTTCCGTAATCTAGATCGGGGCCCAAGAATTTGCCTTTCTACACAGACCCTTTCTAGTTGTGATGCTGCTAGTTGATGGAATAAACTTTTCTAAGATCCTCTGCATAAAGAAAAGGGCGATGTGAGTGGAATGAGTTTTTAAGAAATCTGCCTGTCAAGAGGGACTGGGGACGCTGCTGAGCTGGTAGAGTGCCTGCCTGGCATACAAGAAGCCCTGGGTTCCTGCAGCACCTAATAGAACTCAACGTGGGTCATCCTTAGCTACATATGTGGGGTGGGGGGAAAAAGAACAACTGGGGCTGTAGCTCAGAGGTCGAGTGCTTGCCTAGCATGAATGAGGCCCTAGGTTCAATCTCCAGGACTGGGAAAGAAATAATCAAAAAGAGAAAAACCACCAAACCCACTTGTATGTAGACTTGGGGAAAGTAGCCAGAAACTTAGGAGGATCAAAGGATATCTTCAGGAACTCATCTCCTCTGCTTCCTAAATGCTTCCAGCCTCAAGGCAGAACCTGCACCACTCCACCATCAGTGGGCAGTTCAAATGCCACCTCTCCTGTGATGCTCTTTGCCACAACCACCCCTCCCATAACACTACTTCCTCCTAGGTGCCTCATAACCCCTCATTCTAAGCACTAACACAGGAGCCCATGGGTAATCTTGGAGTTGGAGGACTCAAGCTCTGATTTCCCTTGGGCTGTGAGTTCCTTGAGGACCTCCACAGTGACTTCATTTGTGTGGTCCCTTTGTGAGTTGCAGAGCATGGCCAGGGGCAGAACTCAACAATGTGTTTCCTGAAGTTCCTCTGTGAACTGGGGCTCTCCTTACTCAATGAGCCAAGGAGGAAGTGATAGCAAGTAGCTGTTGCTTGTGGCTCTCCCACTTCTGCACAGCTGGGAACAAGAGGCCACTGTCACCACAAGGGTAAGGGCATTATTCCTCTCCATGCTGTGAGGGATGGCTCACCAGGACCTCAACTCCATCATAAGATCCCCAGTTTTCTCACAGTGAGAATCTCCTGAAAGTTGCATATTAACTACTTTTCTTATTGCTGTGACAAGATACCCTATTAAAGCAACTTAAGGAAGGAAACGTTTCCTTTGGCTCACAGTTGAAGAACACAGTCTACATGGCAGCGAAGGCACAGCAGCAGGAGCCAGAGGCTGCTTGTCACATTGAGTCGCCTTCAGGAAGACCAAGAGCCATGAGTGCTGATGCTCAGTATACTTTCTCCTTTGTATACTGACCTCAGTCCACAGAATGGTAACCACCCACAGTTAAGGCGAATCATCCCACCTCCACCTAGGCTATCTTACAAATATGCCCAGAGGTGAATCTAGGTCCTGTTCAGTGGAAAATCAATATTTACCATCACAAATCACCTCAGGGAATCTGCAGTGTATGAACCACCACTGCAATTGCCCCAGTTCAACACCAGAGTGACAACACTTAGAACCTAGTCTTGAATCCCAAAATGATTTAATTCCTCAGTGGCCACTGACCTCCAGAGATCACTTGAACAACAAGACTGATGTAATTTGAATGAAATGTCCTCTGTAGGCACATGTATTTGAACACGGGGTTCCCAGTTGGCGGTGCTGTTCGGAAGGTTATGGAACGTTTAGCTATAGTCCTGCTGGAGGAAGTACATGGGGGCGGGGGCAGGCTTTAAGAATTTAGAGCCTCACTCTACTTCCTGCTCTGTTTCTCTTTTCTTCCTGCTTGTGGATGAAATATGATCAGTCATAACCTGTTCCTGCCACTATACGATGCCTAGGCATTATGGACTCCCTCTGGAAACGTAAGCCAAAATGACTCTTTTATAAGTTGCTTTTGGTCATGGAATTTTGTCAAAGCAACAGAAACAAAGCTAATACAGGCAGGATTCTTGGTCTCTCCTGCCTGTGTCTTTCCTAAGCAGAGGTTCGTTCAGTAAGTGCAAAAGACGCTTCTACAGCAGCACTGATACTGTGATCTGTCAGGGGCCCATAGACCTGATCATAGTGACAGTGCAACCGTGGGGCACCAGGTGAACCCCAGGTAGCAAAAGATTCCATCTTCCAACTAATTGTTTTTATCATGTAATAAATTACATTTCATATATTCAGTTGAGTGCTCGTCAGACTTGATTTCCAGAAATGCCATTTGAGTCATTTATCATTACACTTGAAAGAGAAGAAACATTGAGTTAGTAAATACAATCTTATCCTAAAAGCATAGTCTGTAGGAGACACTAAAAATATATTACAGGCCTCTCTTAGTGCCTTTGAAGATGCATAGCAGCCCTAGAACAACAGGCTGGGAAGCAGTGACCCAGGGTTGGTAGGAACAGTATTAGAAATGAAAAGAAGGAAGAGAGTCTACTGAATAAACAAGTATTAAATGATGGAAAAGATGAAATCTGTGAGACACTTGGAATGTGGTCCCTGATGGAGAAACACACGAGGTAGACTTCACGTCTTTGGAGAACTAATGCCTTGCAAAGCTAACCTTTGTGCTTAAAGCTACAGCTAACTGAATAATGGAACCACAGTAATGGAACTAAAACTTCAACTCTGTATTTAAAGATTTCAAAGAGGATCCAGAAATTGAAGAGAAACATCAGATTCTCCTGATACACGGGGCTCAATTTTTTAAACCTTTGGGGAACCTCTGGCCTTGATGGGGAATGCTACTAAGGAGCCCTGGTGTGATCCTATTTGACTGAGGGGTCACCTTGAAGTGCCAGATAAAAGAATGAAGACTCTGTCCCCATAGTAATGAATATGTCATCATGGGTATCAGCAGCATGCTGACAATTGTTGGCTGGTAGGGTGCCTGGGCAGGGGAGGCTAGAGGTTAGGAGAGGCATGATTCTTGCCAAATCTTAGTTGCAGTTAGAAGAAGCAATCCTGCTGTCACTGTTCTGCTGTCCCCATCCTCAGGGATGTCACCAGCTGCTGAGGGCGGAGCTGATATCTGAGTGAGGCTCTGGAGGACCCACTCTGAATCTGCATGTGAGAGTTGGATGACAGCCACCAACCAGTATCAGCACTTCCCAGAACTGCTCTGAAGTGGACAGTGGAAGAAGTGAGACATTCGCCTCCCAGCTGACATCAACACACAGCCTCTCTCTGGAAATGCAGAAGGAAAGCTCTGAGAACCAGCTGAAGCCCGTCCAGTCTTTATATGGTAAACCTAGCTTCATGATAGAAAGAGCTGATGACACAGCAGGAATGAGAGAGAAACTTCCTCCCTTTTCCTGGTTCATGGACAGGAACAGAAAAAGGAGGAATACCGGGAGAAAGCCAAGGGGTTTCCAAGAGATAAGCACCCAGAACACAGTATAAGCAGCCAGGCCACTGAGTTAGCAGACAGGCTCCACCCTCCTGGGTGAGGCATGCAACCTCTCTGTGCCTCAGGGTCCTCATCTATTAAATGGCAATGATACCAGGACATCCTCCTCCTAAGGTTAGGGTGAAGATTAAATGACGCAGGTATGTAACAGTCTTCTTGTAAGTGTGAGATAGCATTATTATGACTGTCAGAGAAATAAAGGGAGTCTTTAGGAAGGCCATTTCTATCCTGACTTCCATTTAGATTCCATGACAGGCCTTGCATGTTGATAGACAAGTTTAACATGGCTGGAGACCCGTTAGGTAGAGTGGTTGATCTTTTAGCTTTCCTGGAATGACTCTGATATTTGTGGGACACAAGTAGGACCCAAAAGTCACTGGAAAATAACAAGAAATCTGGCTTGAGTGTTTCTCTGTGGCAGGCCCTCTTTACCAAGGATTAGGGTTCACAGCCATACCTCAGAGGACCCCAGCACACTCCTGGCTCCATCCAGACCAGATGATGCATTAGAGAATCTCCTGGCTTTGTCTTAGAATGACAAGAGGACAAGTGTGAGCACCACAGAGTAAGCAGGGGACATCATGATTATGATGCCCAACACCTGGAGGGCCCCATGGTCAACACACCTGGCAGAGGTACAGAGCTTGACCAAGGAATCTCCAGTGCTTAGCACTTTTACCAAGAGGAGAGACTAAATATTTGCTAATGGGGTTGTTTAGTTGTCAGGATTTGTACATTTAGTCCAGACTGAGCCACAAATATGCGCACCAAACAAATGATGTGCATACAGGGCAGAGGGTGGAGAATACACCAGGCAAGCAAGCAGGCTGTCTTTAAACACAATGGAAGAGTCGTGTTTTCTCTGCACTATAATGTACAGCCACGGATAATTTTATGACCCTAATGCAAAGCTAAGCTTCAAAACATGCACCACAATCACCTCCTATTTCCCTCCTTCCCAGTGTCTCCACTAAAAAACTAATGATCTAATACTGAGTGTTTGATTGGAGGCCCAGTACAGGGAGGAGAGGTCTCTGTCACACATCTAGTCTTTGTAATAGCCCTTGTAGCTTAAAAGGACAGTGTCCTTTTCTGTCTGTAGTAGTCAGAGCAGACAGTGGAGTTTCCATAGCCCTGGTTAGGAGTGGGAGGGAAGCAGTCAAGTCTCAAGAGGAAAAGGAAGCAGGAAAAAAACTATCAGAGAACTGA